CTAAAATCAAGCATGATATAAGTCACATTGTAGTATTCAACTATTTAAATTGATATATTTTTTTAAAAAATTTTTATATTAATATAACCTTTCTTATATTTCATATCATAATCTTTATCATTATATTTTAAGTTATCATTATCTTCTATAAAAAGCTATTATTTTTAACGTTAACGATATTTATTGAAAGTTTAATTTTTTTATCATGTCTTTTAAAAATGAATATATAGACTTTTAGAAAAATGGTTGCTTTAATGATTATATTAGTAGTGAGTTAGAATGTGATGACCTTAATAAAGATTACATATTGCTTGAAAATAATAATTATAGTATTACAACTAATAATACTATTAACATGCAATTCTGTCGAATTACAACTATTAGACAGGGTGTTTAAGTGGTAATTCTTTTTAAGTTTACATAGTAATCTAACAGTTATCTTAATAAATTAATAGTTTTTTTATATACTATAAAATATATTCACACCTCAGTTGCAAGGTTAAAATTACAACTGTATAAATCAGAAAAAACTGGTAAAATTTAAAAGCAGCTGATAATTTTGAGGTTAATTAGTTTTTTTGCCAATAATAATTTTAAGTAAATTTATTTTGAAAATCATGATTTATTTGTAAATTGTAATATGTAGATAATCTGAATAAATATTCTGAATATGAATTTTTTTATTTTTTACCTTGAAATATAAAAAATGTCTAATATTCACTAGTCGAAATAAGGCAATTCAGATACGTGACAATTTGGCTAAGTTTAAGAACAATTTCGACTCCAATTTGAATTTTACCCAAAATCATCTATAATTCGACCATTACGATTTACATCCGAAATTAGCAAATTTAAAATCATCTATAATTTAACCATTACGATTTACATCTGAATTTAACATATTTTACTAATTTATTAATATAATATAATAATTATTATCATATCAATAAATCAATCACAATATCATATATAAATATAATGAAAATTGAACATTTAGCGAATATGGTATTTTCTGTTAATTGGATTTACAGCTAAATATTCTCTTGCATTCTCCCTTTTTAAAATTCGATAATTAATTGGAATAAATCGATTAAGAATATGGTGTACCAGAATAATACAATCGCGCGATTCTTGATAAAATTCAGTATACCAAAGCTCAACATTACAAGTATCGTCACTGTTGAAATAATATCGAATTTCAGAGCTTGCGAGTTGATACTATCAAATATATGCTAAAAAATGTTCAGCAGATCCATTCGGTAAATCAACCATATGTTTAAAAAAATATTGAATTTGACCAGGATAACATTCGACATTATCATCCTCTGTTATGAATTTGGCCAAAACAAACGAACTTTTCACATGACGAGACGACATTTTTGAGTCGAATGTCTCAGAACCAATTCTACATCTTCTGAATTAGCTCATCTTGACACGAATAATAATCGAATTGTCAGGTCCTTCTCCAAATGGTCTTCGAAAGTTAATGTACATAAGTTGCTTTATAATATTCGACCATTAAGTTGAGCATTTCTTCTGACATTAAAACATTTTCTAAACAAGGACCTAGCATTTCTCCTGGAAATCTTTCATATCCATAAATCAGAGATTTTTTAATATTTTGTGAGTATTATAAAAACCGTTTCATTTCTTCTGAAGTAAATTCGTTAGTTTCAGAAATTGAACTGACTGAAGGTCTAGTATCAAGTATATCAAGACTTTTTGTAGTAACTGCTCCAGAACTAATAATATTATCGATTTGGTTATTATTCATAATGCGACGCATGAGCTCTGGCTCGATTTGCCGATGGCTATTAGGCAAAGAACCTAAAAAACTAATTTAGAAACAATAAGTAATTTGTCAAGTAATTTGTTATAAGTTCTTAAAGATTAACTCACCTAGCATGCCATTCATACGCTCAAATAAAAAACACCAGAAAGCGTAAAGCGGTCTGAAATCTTTTGCACATTCGTACAAGTGAAGCAAAAGGTAAAGGTTCAGAATGATAAAGTCTCTACCATAAGCTTGCTCAATTAATATTATAATCTCAACTAATTTTTGGTGAGCTTCCACCATTAAATTGGATTGAACAATTCGTCCTACTAAAATTGAGCAAATTCTTACAAAGTATGTGAAAATCTTTCTATCTACTTCAGGAAGATGTTTCCAGAGAGACACGGTAGCATAAATGGTGAAAAATATTCGCCACTAATCAGCTGTAAAATTCGTGAATCCTTTACCACATTCCACTTTTCTCGAAATTCTGCCTATGTCAGCTGGCACTTGGAACTGGTTCATTTTTCTTTGAATCTCTCTTAAGGATTCTGGTTTCAAAACATTTTCATCAACCCAAATCTGCTTAACTATCCACCTTGCAATGCCCAAGAATAAACAATGCATTAGGTCTATTGCCAAAAAACGAATTAGATCAAAATACAGCAACCGTAGTAATTCAGACCATCTTGCACTAGTAATTCTTACAAAATGATCTCTTGAAGCACTTGAATTACAATGATGCCATCTGAGAGCATTCTCTCAATACTGTCTCACATTTCGGCTGACAAATCAATCTCCCATATTATCCATTCTGGCGAAGTTATGCTTGTGATTTTTGTAATTTGCTTTTTTCTTGCATCTATAACATGACGAAAGAGCTGAAATATGTCCGCAAATTTTTCTTGCTGCAGGGATATCGCAAGAAATAAGGACTAAGGCTGCACGAATATTTTTACCTTCTTGATGCTCAAACGTTCGAGGTAGAGTCACTCCACGTCATAGCAATTCTAAATCGTTGACAATCGGCGCTAAATAATGGTTGATTTTATGCAAACTTACTTTATGAGGTCCTGGTAATATCCCGAGAATATCATATTTTTGCGCTTAAAGCACACATCTCACAGTAAGTTACATATAGCAGCGTAAATTATGCTAGTGCTATGAGTGGTTCCGTCGAACAGCTGGAACCAATTTAGGTTCAGCATAAGGCTGAGATGTGAATCGACAACATCGGGTTGAAAAAAATTTGGCGAACCTTCCTCGTTTGTATCTTTAAAATTTTACCAAACTTGATCATCATAGATATCAGTTAAAATATTATCGAATTGTTGCTGATTTGACCAATGACGCAAGTTTTTTTCAAAATCAGAACGGCAATACATAGATGCTAGTTGTTTTCTAATACTAGCAAATGGAAATATCTTTTCAGATCGAATTAAGACACGACTATGTAATAACGATGCTTTTTCTAATAAAGGTATTTGACATTGTCTTGATTTTTTAGTTTTTGAATTAGGGAATTTCACATGGCTACATTTCATAACTGCAAGATTTTCACTTTGTCTAAATTCTTTTACTTTATCCTTATTATATAGTTTGTGGCATTTTTGGCATGCTACAAAACTATGATATTGATCCTTTAACCCAAGAAAATTTCTTGCTAGATATAAAGTATCAGGAAATTCATCAAAATCAGAACCACCAATTTCTGTCAATAACAGCTTTATGAATTTAATTAATGATTCTGTTGCAGTTTCTGGAATATTAAATCTTCTGCGAAAGCTCATTATCCACAGTAAGATCGATAAAAATTGTGAATTATTGGTCGTTTCTGGACGAATTTGATCTTAAAATGGCTCAAATTCAGGAGGGGAATAATCCTTGAAAATTTCAGCATATTCATTATTATCATTGTTGTCACTATTACTTTCGCTTTCATGAGAATCGCTTAATTCTTCATCGGTAGTGAATAATTCAGGGGTAACTTCTTATTCGTTAATGATTGTTTGTCGATTTACATATCTTCTCGATCGTTGACGAGGTAATTCTTCTTCTGTTTCCTCTATTTCTATTTATTAGTTTACAGCTTCATCATCGTCTCCGAATTTTCATCATGCAATATTGGATTATCTTCTAATGATAGTTCTTTTAATAATAGTAAAGAAGTATCTTGAATGACTTCTGAATCTTAATCATCTGCTAAATTTTCTTCGATTTCATGGAGCAATTTTGTACGAATATCTATCAAATTGCTATTACATTTAGAACAGTCACATCTAACCAATATTCAGCCATATGAACGTATAACAGGAGTTTGTCCTTCAGATTCCTCATTGAGTATTCTAGAAACCACTCTACTTTTACAAGGAGTATGAGTTGTAGTTGTTTCTTCATTATCGCTATCATCGCTGAGTAAAGCAGAAACTGTCCTCCTTCGTCAGCTCATTTTACGAAATAATTTCAAAGTTGAAGTTATATTTTATAATAATTGTCTTGATTTGAATTTTATAATAATTGTTAATAATTGTTGTCTTAATATATATATTCATAGTGAACATTATAGATGAGGGACGAAACTCCTTAATAACAGTCGAAACTTAGACGAAACTATATTAAAATCATAATAAGGGATACGACGAAATCCATTAGATACGACGAAAGCCGAAACTGTCAAAACTATATTAAAAACATAGAAAAGGGTATGACGAAATTATTTTGAGAAGGTTTCGGCAGGCATCTATAGTGAACATCTAATGCTGCGTCACTAATTCCGCAAGGTCTAATTTTAGAGCAAATCATGCAAAAATCAATTAATCGTGTAAGAAACTATTTAATTATGTAAAAATAATTTTAATAGTAAAAAATACATAAAAAATAATTTAAGTATGTAGAAATAATTTAAGTATGTAAAAATAGTTTAAGTAAAAATAGTTTAATTAAGTGAAAATAGTTTAATTGTGTAAAAATAGTTTAATTGTGTAAAAATTCGAAAGTTAATTATTCTGATTAAGAGAAAGCTTAATAATTTTGAAGATAAAAGGTGGCTGATTTTTAAGCTATAAAAGCCTGCTAAATTCAACTCTCTCTTCTCTCTAACTCTCCGTTAAAAAAAATCGATTTATCTCTAATAAATTTACTCTCTAACTCTCCATTAAAAAAATCGATTTATCTCTAATAAATTTACTCTTTAACTCTCCGTTAAATAAAAATTATTTTTCTAGTCATGTCAACTCCTAAAAAAACGGCCAGATGTCACTCTTCATCACAATCTTCTTCGCAAGCATCTGAAATTGAGGTTGAAAAGATCAAATCAATGTTAGAAAGATATGAGAGGATTCAAGTTCCAAAATCATATGTGAAATGTATAGAACCAGAAAAAACAGAACAAACCATAGAAATTATCAATGATGATAATGTTGACGCTGATTTATTATTAGCCGGTATAACTTCTCAGAATATAAACCGTTAATTTACTGAAATCTGCAGCTTATTTCTGAATTTGGTTAATTTAAATCATTTTTATAAAAAATCGTGAATTACGCGCGAAATTAAATGAATTGCGTAATAAATGTTCAAATCTGGAGAAGAAAAATAGTGAAGTAACATGAGAAGCAAAGAAAGTTGGCGAAGAACTTAATAAGATTAAAGAAGATTTTAGTTTATTAATTGACATTAATAACACTTTTAGCAAGGAAAACGAAAAACTGAAGAGAAGAATTCATTTAAATGAAAGCGACGACGAATTTAGACAAAAAAGTGGAAATAAAAAAAGAAACAAGGAGAAAAAAATTGCTAGTGGTAGTGACAATGACAAATCAGATGATACGACGAGAATTGAAACCGAGGAACTAATAGAAAAAGACGAGAAAAGCGTTAGGGTTTGTTAAATTTTGTTAACAGCAGCTGCATTTGTAACGATTTTAATAATTTTTTCTGAATTTCTTATTTATTTTATTAGATCGAAATGAAAGCTGTTTTGAAAACAATTAAGCCCAAATATCATCTAAACTACGAAGAAACGTTTAACAGACTTACAAATATTAAAATTCGTCGTAAATTAGTTCTGGAGTTAATGAAATCACTTGGACCTTATAAACCATCAGTACAGCAGATAACAAGGTGGTTGAGCAGTTTACATAAATCTCGTCGATCTCAAGCGAAGTTAAAGAAATTGGGAAAAATTAACGAAGATTATCGACGTATACATGCAAATAATCGGTCGAACGATGTATATAAATGTGATTTGATGGCAGTTTTTTCTTTTATTTATTAAAATCATCTAAATTTTATAACAATCAGAAAAAAATAAGAAGGATAAGAGCAGCAAAAGATCTTTTTAGGAAAGAAGACGATCGAATTTTAATGTACGATAAATGACCTTTATTAGAACTGCTTGCTGACCGTTCGTATCATTCGCCTAAGATAAGCGAAACCGATGATGAAAATCTGACTACTTTGATCATAAACGTGTATGATCTCTCTTAGAGGTCTGAAGAGGTATTACACATTTTAAAAATTGCTTTTCTTTATTTTTTTTTTAAACACAAATTTCGACTAATTTTTGTTATTTCAACTAAATTCAATATACACTAGTTAAAGGATTTACTCCAAAATACACTCGATGGTCATTCAAAGAAAACTCAAACAGCACAACTACAGCGCTCACGCCATTATGACGATGATCTACAAAGTCATGACTATTCACATCCTACAAAAGCTCCTAGATGGACTTATGTTACCAGACAAAATATGATTTACGACACAGAAGTCAAAGAAAAAACCGGTGAAGAAGATAATAATAATTCAGATGATTACGACGAAGTAGAAGTAGTTAGTAGTAAAAATGCGGGAAATGTTGCAAGTCAAAATACTAACTAAATTCGTTATAATTTTATATATTTTGAACTTTTTAATTTTTATTATTTCTTTTTTTTTGAAGGTCTCACAATATCACGAAAAAGAGACATAGTTTAATCCTTCCTACAAGATTATCAGGCCTGGGGATTACTTTATTAGATTAGTATTTTCTTATTTACGTTTATCTTTATATTTTTATTATTTTATTATATTTTATTGCGATTTTATTATATATATATTTTATCAAAATTAAATATTTTTTTTGTGGTTGAAACTTCGAAATTAATAAAATAAATTATATTATTTTTTGTTGAATTATATCTGAATTTCATACGATTTATATATATATCGAATTTAAGTTGATTTTTATCTGATTTTATTCTGATTTTATATTCTGAGTGGTAACCATTCAGAACCCAAATGGAAAAACAAATCAGAATGGAATTCAGCATATTTTAAACTCCAATTCAGACTAAAATCAGATGTTTGATTTTAGTTCGAATTGGACTATTTCGACTAGTGATTATTTATTACTATAAAACAATTAGTGTCAATACTAATAAAAATAATGATAATAAAGATAAATCAACTGAAGATAAATCTTTATCTGAAAGTGAAGAAGATTTATCTTTTACAGAAGAAGTAAATGAAGTTCTACCTTCTCAGAAAAAAAAAATCTTTGTATATTAAAAAAAAAAACAAAAGTAAAAATTAATAAAAAAGGGATTTCAAAAAAAATGGCTCAAAGAATTTTTATGGTTAAAATATAATTCTGAAGAAAAAAAAATGTATTGTAAATTATGTAGATTTCATAATATTAATATTTATTTTGCTAAAGAAGGTTGGTTATTTATTATTATTAATAAATTAATTTTTAATGATTTTAAAATAATTTAATAATTTATAATTTGATTAATTTGAATTTAGGTTCAAAAAATGTTAGCAAAAAATCAGCAATTCAAGATCATGTTAATAGTGGTGGTTATAAAGAAGCTTTAAAAAAAGAAAAGGCTAGACTTTCAATGGTTAAGACTACTTCAAATGTAGTAAATCACGCAAATAAGCATATAGAAAGCTTAATGAAAATTATTTATTTTATGACAAAAAAACAATCTTCTACTCTATTAATTTTCTCAATTAATACAACTTAGGCGTGCACTTGAAAGTTTTAACTTAATTTCTAACTCAAATTCTATAACATACAAAAATCCTACATCTGCAAAGGATTTATTATTAGCAATATCTTTATCAATTGAAAAAGAACTGTGAAATGAACTTTATGAAACTACAAGTATTGGTATTATGATAGATAAAAGTATAGATATTAATATAGAATCACATATAATTCTTTATATTAAATATTGTTTAAGAGGTTTTATTAAAATTAGATATGTAAAACTATTATATTTAAATAATAAAGATGCTAAAACTATTTTTTTAACTATATTTATTTTATTTGAATTAAAAGGTAAGAATTTACTGTTAATTTAAAATTTTAATTTTTATTAATTAAATTAATTTAATTTATTACTTTATTAATTTAGGATTAGAAAAAAAAATTATGTCTTTTTCATCGGAAAAAGCTAATATAATGCTTGGTAAAAATAATAGTGTGATAACCAAACTTACAAATAAAAATCCTTATTTATTTGTAAGTCATTGCATTGCACATAGATTAGCGTTGACTTATAATTCAGCTCAAAAGAAAGTGGCTTTTTGTAAATATATTGAAACCTTAATTAAAGAAACATATAATTTCTTTAATAATGCTGAAAAAAGAGTTAATACTTTAAGGCAATTCCAGTCAGTATTGAATCATCCAATTTTAAAAATAAAGAATATCTTTGAGATTAGATGGTTATCTTGGTATAAAGCAGTTAAAAGTATATGTACAGTTCGCGATATAAATATCTAAAATTTATCGTGACAAATAAAAATATTATTTTATTAGTTTTATATTATACTATTCGTAGATTATAATATACAGATTAACAAAATAAAAAAAATTAATAATTAATTGTAAGCCCTTTTTTTCTATAACTTCATTAATCTGACCTGACATACTATTTGCCAAATTAAAGAAAACATTTTAATCAATACTGTCCTATTCCTATCAAATTATATCCTGAAAAGCAACTGCACTAAGCACTTTTTTTTCCTAATCCAATTATTAACCCTTTCCTCTACTTTTCGTTTAAGAATGACCTATAAATTCTTAATTGGATTCAAATCAGGAGAGTTTGCAGACCAATCGATCACTGGAACATTATTTGCTATAAAAAATTGTTGAGTGCGCTCTGCTATATGGGTTAGTGCATTATCTTGTTAGAAGCACCACCTGTAGCCAGCATTATGAGCATTAGGAATAAGCTGGGATTAAAGAATTTTACAATATTTTTCAAAATTCATATTTCCTGTAAATAATTCAATTCCAATCAGTCCTTGATGAGAAAATGCATTTCAAATATGCACTTTGTATGGATGTTTTACTATAGAACATGATAGACGTATACTACTAGCTTTGTAATATATTAATAGAGTATTACTAAATGTTTGAAAAGTGCTTTCATCTGAAAAAATTGTATGAGACCAATCATCTTGATTATGCCTTAAAGTCTACTGGAGACGTGCTTCAATATGATTTTGTTTAAAGAGAGGAACAGCTCGTGGCTTACAAACCACATAATTAAGTTTATTTTTAAGGATGCGTTAGACAGTCTGAATTGATATATTAAGGTCTGAATAAATATTATTCAGTTTCATTATCATTAAAGATGAAGATATTGCATTATTAACTTGGATGAGATGATTAAAATATTGACGTTTGTTAGGAGTAGAGCTCTAAACAGGTCAGTTTAGGTCAGGTCAATCAAGTTACCTAAACTGAGAGGACCAGGTCAGGTTAAACAAAAATCTGACCTGATTTAAATTTTCATTTGACCTGATCTGATCTGACCTGATCTGACCTGATCTAATCTAACCTAATTTGATCAAATTATTTAAATTATTTAATAAACAATATATTATATTTGATTCAA